AGGGCTCTGTGAGTGCGACATCATGTAGATGGACAAAAGGTTTTGAGATTATTTAGTATGTCAGCAGGTGCATCCCAATAGGGCAAATTCAAAAAAGGTTTCTTCAATTAGATTTAGGCACACATTGAAAAAACAACAGAGGGTAAAAATTATTTCAGGGCCCTCCACTGTAGCATATTCTGGAACCTCATACTGCCCCATGTTGGACTATCAAAAATGTATTATCAGCCAATTCATTATGAAGCATACATGACATGATCCGTTCCCCTAGTATATAGCATAGGACTTTGCATGATGTAAATTAAATGCAGCTTTATTGCATGAAATGTGGATGGTAGGAGGCGAGGCCCAACACGTGCAGCATTGTATTTGTAACAAAGCACACGTCAAAATGTACTGTACTATGGCAGTACCATGTTTTCTGGTGGATGCTGCACAATTAATTTCAAGCAGCAACCCACAGCAGGATCACAAAAGAAGAAGGTATAATAACTCTAAAAGGTGGCCATAAAAGCAGTAGCCGACCGAAAACATGTGCAATTCATGCAGCTTACCACACGACTTTATCAGGTATTAGATTGAAAGAGGTCTTATAGCCTATCTACTCCTCTTTTTCATTTATGAGGAGCTACTTTCAAATTAGAAGACAAAAAAAAAAATTCAGACATCCCAAGTTCTTCTGAAACACCAATACTCTTGAAACACAGTGATGTTCCATGCAGGGAATTTTACCCTTTTTGGGTAATTTTCGCCTGTCATTTTGAGCCAAAGGGAAAAAGGAAATCTTTGTGATATTACAGGGAATTTTAGGAATGGCTAAATTATGCTCCGACAACCGATAATTAGCGGTCACAGTGCGCCTTCATCTTCTGTAATCGGTTCTGGTGCATGCACCAGGCCAGCACAGCTCTTGAAATTTGTTTCTGATATTTATGTGGAGCAATTTCTAGTGCACTATTACTCAGTGTACTGACAGCATATGAATTAATAAAGTCATGCTTTCATTGTGTGGCAGTGGAGAGGCTAGTCATGATTTCAAAAGTCGCCGATATGTCAGACACATGTAATTATAGTATGTGTGTGCATGGATGGGTGCAGAAATTAGTACTGTTGTGCAGCGAAATATGCTGGGAATTTTGCGAACGTTTGCAGGAAAAAGTCCCCAAAATAGGGAATTTTCATGTCTCTGAATGAGAATTGTTTGGCGTAGTATGGAACATCACTGTTGAAACAGACTCGAAACAAGTAAACTTGCGCATGATTTGAAAAAACGATGTCACTGAAAAGGTCTTCCGAAGAGACAGGAAGTGTGGTCATCATCATCATAAGCAGCAGCATATCTTATGTCCACTGCAGGACAAAGGCAAGTCACACCACAAGAAAGACTGGTAACAGATGGGCATTCATACAACATGAATAAAAGTCTATTATAGTACAGATTCTTGCTACAGTTGCAACTTTTTGTTCAATAGTTCATAGTAACACTTGGGAGTACCTGTTACACAATATAATTTTACACATCTAATTCATGCTTAGGTGTGTATAAAAGTGCAATTTGCATAAGAAATGAACATAAGGAACAGAGACATGTTAGTAAAAAACTAGCAGTTGTTGTATGACGAATGCAATGGATCAGCAAAGCTCCTTAGAAATGGGACGCAAATGACTATACGCCTGATCTCACTGCTGGCTTCCATGAAGGTGGTGGGGTGGAAAGCGAGGGGGGAGAGCGTCTGCTGTGCTTGGTGGTGGAAACAACTGAACGAGTTTGTGTGCGAAGCATGCTCCCTGCTTTTCCTAGGAGCGCGTACCTATTGTTTTGCTCAGCGCGCTTGCCCAACACTGGGACCTTCGGCGGTGACAGCAAAGTACGGTCCTAAGGAGCTTCGCTCCTACACCAGCAGCCCAAAAAGTGTTAATGTACAACTACTCCTGAAGATGAACAAATTTATAGTGTGGATAGCAGTCTTGGTATGCATAACATTTGGAGCTATTTATGCCACACACGCTAAGGAAGGTGGCTCTGCTCACCTACTGCAGAAGTTTAGGCATTACTGTAAAATCATGAACAAGCACCTCTAGCCGAGCAAGCACCCTTCTTCCCTTCTTCGGGATATTTAAATATGTGACTTCTTCATCTCTCGCCCCATCTTCACTGTTTTATTCCCTGTTTTCATTCACCCAATGAGCGCGAATGGAAACAGTGAAGGCATGTGTATTCAATAAAGCCTTTAATTAAAAGCATGGCTGCAACTTCTTTATTCTGAGCAACTTCTCAGCTGGCATGTTGAATTTCAATCCATGACGGAGAAAGGTCCTCCACTCCAAATATTGTCAAGTCATTTTGCACCATACTGGGTGCGCTTGCTCGGGATTTCATATTAGTGAACTTATACCAGCCTTCTTCACTTCATAGGGTGAAAAGATACTAAATGCAATTACTTTGTTCAGAAATGTTCTGCCTTAGTAAAATAATTATACAACCAATAAAAACTAATAAATTTTTTTCTAACATTTCCGTCATAATTACAAGAGTAGTGTAGGAAAAAGCCGAACGAAATCGCTTCCTTGCTGCCAAAGCTGCTGAACTGTAATTTCTACTCATATAACCAAAATAACTCCACAATAGAAGATAGATTACCAGTTTTGGTATTTTGGTATGTCATGTACACTCAGGATGTCCCCCATCTCTCGCTTCTTTTAACTTTTGTACTAAAACTCAGTGAGAGTGGTACCAACAATGATAACTCTCCTTGAAACCCTCACATTACCATATCGACAGCAGAAGTGGAGTACGAGCTCACTGAATCACGAGAGTGCAAGCTCTACAAGAGCGAACATGTATTTAAAAAAAATCATGAGGGTGACATTATTAAGAATTCTATTCTCTAAACCAACTTACAGCAAACATCTCTCGATTGGAAAGTGTATAGACCCTTTCACTGTTTACTAACAAGCCCTCGACAGCATTCGGTTTTGTTGCACAAATTTGCCCCACTAGTATCAGCAGGCAAGAAGAGCCTTAATGAGTAGCCTGCTGATTTTCTACTTTTCTTCTCTTATTTAGCAAAATATTCCCAAATGATTGTTCTTTTGGGCTACATAAAAGTAAGAGATTTTTTTTTTTAACTTTATGCAACTTCCTTTTATCCTAGAAACATAAGAGAGGCTTTCCTTACCCTGAAACAACTTGAAAACACTTTTGTGGTTTCAGTATTAGGAGCTGATAAATGGCGTGACTGACAGTTTTGGGGGCACAATGCTTGCTGACACTATCACAATCTTGAAACCGTCTAGAGCAATGTTTTCTTATCATTACATAATTAAGACAATTTATCTTATATAAAACAAATCATTAGTAATATACACACCTACAAACTAAGCTGTAGAAATAATCTAGGCAGACCTTAAATTATGAGTGTTTATCCCAAGACCTTCAACTTTCAGATTTCCACGACAGTATACATCACTAGCAACAAAAGCAAGCCTTGAAGAATATGTGCATATAATGCAACGTGATAAAGACTTGAGCCTCTACAGAACATGCGCAAAGGTGCTCCAGCTACTTAATGCTACGTCCAGTCTTACATAATTACGCTGTTAACAAAGATTAACAGACAATGATGCCAAGGAAAAGAGTGTACTGTTATCTGTGCAATGTGTGTAGGCCTCTAAATAACTATTCATGATACAAGCTACTTACAGACATGCACTAGGTGAAAGTACATACCTTCAGGAATTAACATAAAGGTCAGTGTACTGCTGTATTTTCAATTAATAATAATAAAACTAATAATAATAATGTTTATTTTTCATCAACAGTTATATGCATCTTTTTTTTTTATGTTCGGTCATATAAACCTGTAAACAGTGTGAAGATAGGCCCTTAGGAACAACGTAGATGTGAAAGTAGGCAGGCCAAAAACACAGCCGACTTGTCACGTATTACTGAAATAAAACGTCTGCCTCTCGACTATAACATGTGCAGCTAAAAGTAGTTAATGCTTAAATATGTGAACATAATATAATGCTGTCTGTTTTTGTCACAGACGCGCCTACTGCATTAAAAGCCCGACGTAAAAACTAAAGTGAATAGCAACTACTTCCCCACGGGACAAAATGAAAACCCAGCCAATTGAGCTGGTGGGGCGGGTACATGATGCACTATACGACACAAATTGAAGGCCGAAATAAATATCAAAAGCACCAAATATATTTAAAAAAGAAGAAAACTATTTCAACAAGTCAGGATAACCAAACATAAGCCGGTCATCGCTTACTCCTATGTGTTCTGTGACCCGCGTCGTGACTCAACCACAAAAGCTATCGAACATGCTCGCCCACATAGCGATAGTTGGCATAGATGTTCTCTGGTTCTACACATTCAATCTGCGCGAACAGACAATACCTCCCGTTTCTCGCCTACCCCGTCAAAGAACAAATAAAACGACAAAGGTAAAAACGAAAAAAGACACATAACAAAAGTCCACGGCAAACTAAGCGAAAAGTACTTTAGAGATGAGAAAAGAAAAAGCTGCGCTAGGTTGCCAAATAACATTTGCCAGTAACGTCGTTTGTAAGGATACCTGCTGTAAACTGAGCCTGCAGCATCGTTTTATTTATCATTTCAGGCAAGAAAGCTCCTGATATGAAAATGCGTAGACGTCGCAATACTCCCGACTACTGAAGACACATGCCCCTGTATTGTATAAAGGGCAAGCAACCCACATCGAGCCATTGTCAGATGGGAGGAGATGCGGCGCCCAGAAGCAATTTGTCTCGACTCCACTTAAGCGCGAAATTCAGAGAACTCGCGATACGACAGCGTCCACGCGCGAAACGCCATATTTGCATGAACAACGTATCAATCCGCCCGACCGAAATCTTTCACACTATATTCATCCGCTACGCGAAATCTGCTACAGGCATGCTCAAACGCTAGAATTTGTGTTGTTCAATCAAAACACAATAAGGTAAGTGCGAAGATAAGGAAAACGTACCGTAGAAGAGTCAACAAATTGAAGACCACGCAACAAATCTTTAACAGCGCATGGTGTTTTTTGTTTTGTTTTGCAAATGGCGTTCAACAACACGTCTCAGATTGCTCGAATGTCGCTAGCTTGCGTGTAGATGGCGCAGCTATTGCGAAGCCTGCATGAACGCCGTTTTGTTTTCGCTTAGAAGTGTGGCAGCTTGGGCTAGTTGGTATGACATGACGATAGTTATAGCGCGAGAACAGAACGACGACACAGAAACAAAAAGGACACTTCGTATCCTTCTTGTCTCTGTGTCGTCGTTCTGTTCTATCGTCGTTTTGTTTTCGCACCTGGAACGTGGCTACAGTGCAGATGAAGTAGTACGTACATGAATAACTGCTTTTTGTAAAATGAGAACTTGTGCGCTTAGGTATGATTGTTAAGAGCATGTGAGCCAAACCATGCTACCACAGCCATGCTGGAAGGCTTGGGCAGGCCTTCACCGGACTGCTGCGTCCGGTGAAGACCCCCCCCCCCCCCCCCCCGGCGCTGGTTCGGAATATTTACAACGGACAGTTGGCCGACATGTCAGGCATATTTTTCAGGGACTGTTTATGCCCGCTTCTTATAACGCGATAGCGCTGAAGAGCTCGTTTAGCACGAATTCTGGTGTTGGCGGCGGCGGCGTCGTTTGTTGTGAGCAAAAAATCATCATTTTGTCTGCAACCGAAAAATCAGGATATTCGTTTTTTTTTTTTTTTTAATAGCCGAACCCAGGCCGTCTGCATGGCAAGCGAGTGACCACAGATTCACACTATTGCTTAAGAGTGTTTCGAAAAAAAAAAAAAGATAAATTCATGCTATGCATAGGGACAAAAGTCTCCTTGGCGCCCGAATTATTACGTGGCCGAAACGTATATATAATCGCGCCAAGCGTCAAGACATGTGGCACCACGAGTGTGGTCCAGCCATTACCATTGATTGATGATTGATTTGATTGATCTGTGGTGTTTAACGTGCTAAAACCACTATATGATTATGAGAGACGCCGTAGTGGAGGGCTCCGTAAATTTCGACCACCTGGGGTTCTTTAACGTGCACCCAAATCTGAGCACACGGGCCTACAACATTTCCGCCTCCATCGGAAATGCAGCCGGGATTCGAACCCGCGACCTGCGGGTCAGCAGCCGAGTACCTTAGCCACTAGACCACCGCGGCGGGGCTAGCCATTACCATAGCCCCACTAAAGTATAGAGGAGGCTATGCCATTACAAAGTGTTCAGATATATTTAATCATCAATTGCCAACGCCTTAACAAAACCAGCAGCTGCGTAGGTTAATGTTAGGCGCCCAGTCGTTCGTTTACATGCGGCATGGTTGAAATCTGCATTGAGACCCGAAGGCACGCTAGCGATTGAGAAGTCGATGCGCGCAGGGCCTGATTACGCTATCGGGTTCTACTTTACAAGGCGAAGTTCATTATCGTCAAGTTTTCCCTTTTCCGTTTCAGGCTTTCAAAGATGGAAGTGGTGCGACGTGTCAAACATTAAGTAGAAAAAAATCACAGCATATCCACGGCGTGAATGATGATGAGTGGGGCGAAGCTTAGAAGGGTTTTATCGGCAAACCGTGAATAATCCGCTGGCCGCGTTTATGCGTCCGTCCATCAGTCTGTCTGTCAGGCAGACGGATGGATATGCATGGACGGGTAGACAGACAGATAGTCTATCTGTCTGCATGTCCATCTGTCTGTATGTCAGTCTATCCGTTTGTTCATTTAGTGAACACTCCAAGTACTGCCATCTCGCACCTTTTCATCACATATTCATCATATACAAGTACCGCCATCCAGCAGACATTCCAAGGACTAAAACGAGATGTGATATGGTGAAGAACTGAAGTCACCACTTCAGCTATTACAAAATAAGTCCTGAACCGGGTAGAGACTGCTTTACAGAACACGAAAATTCTACTGAGAATACAAATCAATCTTGACTTAATCAGTCAGTGAATCGCTCTTGCTCAGACTTGCTAAAAAATAAATAGAGGGCAATTTCTTGGTTGTACACGACCAGGTGCCCTGCGACATGCAATAGAGCAGACGCTACGCATTTTACAGCGAAAGCTGTCACATCACAAGGGCAGTGCATGGTGGGAAAGCCTTCCAGCATTTTGGAGCAGCCATTGGAGCAGGTAAAATCTGTCTTTGGATCAGCGCACGCACGGGCTTTCCATGACACACACAGAAGAAGAAAATTTAGCTTTAATTTAGTTCAATTTTCCCTATCTTTAAATAATCATTTATATACAAAAGCAGGACACCCACAAAATAAGCCCAAAAATAAACAAAAGTAGGTTTAAGTATTCTCTGTTGCCACGTTATACCTGCGAAGTACGAACATTTTAATCTCATTGGCCCTCCTAAGTTTCTGTCTTCCCGGTTTGTTCACTGACCCACTCTGCTCTCTTCTTATAACCCATAATTTTCCTTTCAATAGGTCGCTGCGTCGTCCTCAATTTAAGCTGAACCCTCTTTGTAAGTCTCCATGTTTCTGCTCCATAGGTAAGTACTGGCAAGATGCAGCTGTTATGTACCCTCCTCTTGAGGGTTAGTGGAATATTACCATTCATGATTTGAGAATGCTTGCCAATTGTGATTCACCCCATTCTTATTTTTCTAGTTATTTCACTCTCATGGTTCAGCTCCGCGGTTATTACCTGTCCTAAGTAGACATATTCCTTTGCAACTTCCAGCATCTCTCCACTTATCGGAAACTGCTGTTTTCTGTCGAAACTGCTGCACATTACTTTAGTTTTGTGCATATTAATTTTCAGACCTACTTTTCTGCTTTCCATGACCTGTTCAGTAATCATAAGTTGTAATTCGTGACCTGAGTTACTAATCAAGGTAATGTCATCAGCAAACCGCAGATCACTAAGATCATCATCATCAGCCTGACTATGCACACTGCAGGGCAAAGGCCTCTCCCATGATCCACCAATCAACCCGGTCTTGTGCTTTCTGCTGCCACATTATATTTCCGAACTTCTTAATCTAATCGGCCCACATAACTTTCTGTCTTCCCTTCTTGTGTTTGCCTTCTCTGGAAATCCTGTCAGTTACCCTCAATGATAGTGGTTATCCTGCCTATGTGCCCGGCCCATATCCATTTCTCCTTGATTTCAACTGTGATATTCTGAACCCCCGTTTGTTTCCTTACCCACCCTGCTCTCTTCTTGTCTCTTAAGGATACACCTATCATTTTCTTTTTCATTGCTTGCTGTGTTGTCATCAATTTAAATTTAACCCTCTTTGCAAGCCTCCGGGTTTCTCCCCATCATCTCCCCCATGCTTTTTAACTAAGTCATGATTGGCCTAGCCCAACAATTACAGCAAGTCGACAACATCAAAAATACCATCTGCGCCGACGACATGACCATCTGGGCTTCAAGTGGAATCAGCCTTCCAGACAGCGATTGACACGTCTGAGGCCTATCTCCAGGAAACTGGACTGCGCTGTTTACCGGCTCTATCGAAGCTTCTTCTCTACAAGCCCACACAGCGGGGACACCCCCCTAAGCATCAATTCGAGTACCAACGCAGCGACACCATCACCCCACACCTTCGAGATAGCAGCCCAATCCCGCACGTCTCTAGTATCCGGGTCCTTGGCCTCACTATCTCAACCAATTGTTCTAACGCCTTGACTTTCAGCAAGATCTCTGCGAAATCTCAAAACAGCGACTCGCTCTCTGTATTTCGTGCTGACCGGTTGTGCCCCCGCAATATCCGACCACAGTGCAGCTCTGGCGGACTGGCTCGTCCTACGCCATCTCCTGCCGCCGACAAGAGCTCTCGCTGAGTGGTGCCCCGTCCTCGGACTCCTGCGACCGTGTCCATCTTTCCTATCTTCTCCTTGGTTCTGGGTGTCGCTGTCCCTGTGCCACGTTCCCCCCCCCTCTATATCTCTATACATTTAATCCTGTCCTTTTAATCCCTCCTTACCCCCATCCCTCGTGAGCTACTCTTGAGGTGTCGTTCTCTGATGCAGACAGTTACGGGGCTCACTTTTATCTTCTTTTCTCTTTTAAGAATCACATAAGAAAGCAAACAGCCTACATCTTCTTAAATGTAAATCTAACTCACGAGATAGGCTCAAAGAAGAAAGCCTTCTCCGCCTCGTGCAGTCCTTTTGTACTATGGCACATTACCTTCGTTGGTGCGTACCTCTATTGGTACGATGCTGAGCAACACAACCTTCTTCCCCTCGTGCAGTCCTTTTGTCCTATGTCACATTACCTACGTTGCTGCGTACCTCTACTGGTACGATGCTGAACAACACAAACTCGACACCCTCATACGAAGGGTCTACAAGCAAGCGCCAGCCAACTTGTAGATCACAACACCCTTTCCGAACATAATGCTCTCAGATTGAACGGCTCACCCTCACTGAAACGGGACGCTCTATTCTCTCTATGCTTGGCTTCAATTATCAGGAACAGTGCCCCATACAGTTCCTATTCCTAGGAACTGCTTGGGGCCCTATGGATACTATGCCTTGAAACGGATCCTATCCCTAAAAACATGCATCCAGAATATAACAGGGAGGGCCCGGTACAAAGCTCGGGCTGCAGCTATCATGAAAGCCCTTGCCCAAGTACCTGGTGTCACATTTCTTGACGCAGCTCAATACTCTCATGGCACAAGTTCTGTGGCTGTTACCTCAGGCGATGGAGTCCTTCACCACGCCACCAGTGTATCTACTGCCACTGCTGAGACGGCTGAAAAAGTGGCCATTGCCCTGGCCTTTAGACCCCACCTGTCACACAATCGTGTCCGACTCTCGCTCTGCCATTACTAACTTCACCAAAGGCCGCATCTCCGCTCAAGCGCTCCGCTTTTTACGCATTGTTTGCGGGTGCACTATGCTCGCTGCACTTCACAAATAAAACTGAATTGGGCTGAATTGGGCTATTTCAGAAAGCTTATTATCCCCTCTTTTCAATGACATCTGATTTTAATGCCTGGTCGGAAGCGTTACGTAGTAGCAATGAAAATAGTGAGAGCAACAAAAGCATTCTTGCTGTACAAGCCTCCGTTGT